AAACAACTTGGAAATAAATAAAAATCGAGATAACACTGAAAACAAAATTTTAAAAAGAAAAAATAATGAATTTTTATACTTTCTATGCTTAATGGAACCTGGCAATCAATTACTCAATTCTTACCCCATCACAATAATCAATCAAAGCCTTACAGGTATTCTGGGGACAAAATAATTCAGAGATCACTGAGGAGGAGAAAGCAAATTAGAGGCTTTTTAAGTCTGAAGAATATAAAATACCGAATTATAAACACGGTTCTCAAGTGAGCTTTATAAGATCCTTTTAATAACAAGGTGCACAACAGAAACAATTCCTAAAACTGCCTTAGAAAAAGGTAGCTAGCCATTTATCATTAATCTAGAAATTAACACCATAGCAAGTGAATTGGCAGGTGCTAACTACTCAAGTAGTTAATACGCATAGGTTTTTGTCCATGCTACCTTTTGTAGTTTCTCAGGGCAAACTCAAAGCTTGCATGTCAAAGGAGGGAACAACGTTTCAACTGGAAGTCTTCTGGGACCAAGATCAACCTCCTAAGCATCACGTACACCTCTGGCACATTAACAAACATTTTCAGAAGTTTCTAGTTGCCAACTGAGAGAATTCATTAGATCCTACTCCAAAAATTCAACATGCAGCTTCTACTAGAACCACAGACCTGGATCTCTTCCTCACAAATAAGGTAACTTCATTTGCAGAGCTGTTGAATGCCAAACTCTTTTTAAGCATAACCTGGCCTCCCCAAGTACACTTCTATTGCGCAAAGGTAAAGAAAGAGGAAGGTGAAACTCCTTGATTTTTAGGCTTGTAAGAGGCAAAAGCTGTTTATCTAATTTGTCAGTATCCTGAGGCAATATTTAACAAATAAGTCACAAGGGAAAAGTGCTGATAAGCAATTATGCTGTGGATGAAACATTTAAGTATCAGGAAATACCAAGAAATTTTCCCTTATCATCAGAAACTCCCAGAAAAACTGAAGATCCTGAACTAGGTAATTCCCTTTGTTTCTTCCCTAGTGTTTCCCCCCTCCAACATCTTTATGTGCTATCCTCAAAGTCCAGAGCACCTTCCCGAAGCCCTCCCCAAAACTAGTTCCCATTCATGTTGCCAGTCAACCACCTTCTCTCCTTGCAAATTCTTTCCCAAAAATCAATTCTTGTTTTAGCATTGCCTGAAAAATTAAACAGAAAGGTTTAAACACACATGTACAAAAAGCATAGAGAAAACCGTGCTTTTCTTTTGTGTTCACCTACTGGGCTCTATGTTAAAAAGAGTTTATTATTTATCTTCATTTATCTAACGGAATCTTATAATTATTTTGTCATGTAAACACTGCTGAGCAAGAGTGCCAACAGCAGTTAAGAGAAAACAGCCTACATTCTACAAATCACTACGGTTTTAGTAGGAAGAAGAAAAATCTACATGAAGATTTTTTTCTCCAAACCTAATTTAGTTTCCGCATTCTAGCGAGCTGTTGCAAGGTCAAGGGAGTTCTTTTGCTGGGTTGTATTTTAAGACTATGCAATTTTTCTGCAATAACGGAATATTTGCTTTGAAACAAAGAGTTGTGCTAACGCAGAGTTTATTCATGACAAGATTTCAAAAGCATTCTAAGGAATACATTTAATGAAAAAAGAGTATTTCCAAATCCTCTAGACTACTATAAAAGATTTGCACTTCTATCTGCATGCTGTTACATTTTATAACCACTCCTCCATAATCAAGCTTTTAAAATTTTCTCTTATGCATAACATTTCAACCATGAATTAAGTTCATACATCTCTACAGAAGTTAATAGTTGTCTAATAATGCTATTGAATCAGACTTCTGCAGCCATCATGTCTAAAGAGCCCAAAAAAAACAGTATATATTTTTGGGTCCTTCACTAGAATATCACCAATGGTGGCACAGTCAGTAATACTGTGTACACACATTGTTTTCCATATACACATTCTACAGTCGCTTCTTACCTTAAAATGATTAACAATCACATCCACATCTCCACTGCTCCCAGTAGCTTCTCCATTTTTATCAGTTTCAGGTTATTTTTTGCTCTTTACAGTACTTTGGCTTCACTGTTGCAAAGTCTAATAGTGGAGCCCACTGATGAGGAGGCATCACATTCTGTTGTGAAGCAAGCCGGAAGCAAACTCTAAATACCCAATTCCCAGAACTACAGCAATTAAGCACTCTATGAAGCTGCCTGCTCCTCTGAATAGAGTAAAAAGCCAAGCTCAGCATCTACCCAGTGATAAGAAAAATAACTAAAAAACCATATCTCTCATCAAGAATAGAGTAAAAAAAATAAAATACGCATAACAGGAAGGAGAGCAACAAAACCTCAAAGGCTTCATTTGCCTTTAGAAATAAGGCATTTATATTCTAAATGAAGTGGCAGGCTACCTCTGCCTGCACAGGCAGCCTTCAGCAGCCTGTCCAGATGCTCAGCATGCTGCTCAGATATCCCAGGACCTTCTCTCCTGTGGCTAGGCCCTATATGTTTTGAAACTATTTCCTGACTACACTGAGCTGCACAGCTGGGGTTATCTGACTCGGGATCAGCATCATCAGTTTCCCACCATTACCTTTCGGCTAGCATATGCTAATTTAAAGTGGAAAATGATGATGCCAACACCCAGAAGCCTGTGGCCACCACTTGCCTTTGGAAGGTTCTAGTTTTGCAAGCTATACAATGAAATATGACAACAGCTCTTGCCTCAGCTTTGGCACCAACGCCAGCAGTTATAAGAGCAGGGGGTGAAAGAAAGGTACACCACCAGCCAATCAAGAGGAAAAGCCTCTCTTGTTAACCTCATTTAAGGCAAGAGCATTATCCCTAGCCCAGTGACACAAACATGATTTGATGGGAAATGATTCTACTCCTGATGTTGCCACCTTTGACAGCAGTCACCACAGAATCTTAGGATAAAAAAAAAAAAAAAACCACCAGTGCAGAGTTACACATCAAAATGCATTCTCCCCTCACCATTCAGAAGTCTGTGCCTGATGACTTCAGCAACCATTCCCCTGTAGCATGGCCAGACCCTTGAAGCAGATAGTGCTGGCTTGAGGTGCAAGGCTCCACACCATGGGTGTGAAAGAGCTTCCAGCCCTCCTCACCTGGCAGAACATCCTGACCCCTCCCTCACTCTGCAGCATGGGAAAACAAGGTGGCATCTCTGCACGCACCTGAAGGCAGACAGAGCTATGGTGTGTTTCAGAAGGCTCCCAGTGATCACCAGTTTGGGACTGCATCTTCCCTGAAGTTGCATCTGGTGTCATGCACATCTGGAACCAGCAGCAGACAGGAATGCAGAATGTGATCTTGGAAGCCTTGAGGCTGAATTTCTTATTTTATGGTAAATTTACATCTCACAGAACTACAGCACTGTATTTTCTTTACACTTCATGTAATTTTCATGCACATTTAATGAGAATTTTAGGAAGTAAGATATCCTATGAAAACTGCAAAGACTGAAGACTGCTTTTCCTGTTTGGGCATCAGGCTTGCATGTAACTCTTGTTACTAAATTGCTTTGAAAATCAAAAATAATTGACATTTTAAAAGACAACAGCTTTTATAACAGTGCAAAGAGACAATTCTGAATATAAAAAATTGGGCATAAGTAGAACCAGAAATAATTTCAAAGTGAAAAAAATATGCATTCTAAAAATACCAACAAAGTTAAAACAGACCCACAGCCTGTACGTGTAGCTGTGCTGGGCCTCACAGCTGACAGCTATGTAAGACTGCAGCTTTCTGACAGTCAATCCAGTGTGATTCAAAGGCTGTTGGTACAGCTCCCACTCAGGCTTGGAGGTGGCTCCCCAGAGCTGCTACTTATAAAGAGGCAGAGGAGAAAATACAGCTTGAGAATCTGCAAAATGGCCTGCTGCTGCACACAGCATTCTTGAGCATTTGTCATCCAGAAGGCCCTTGAGGATGCTGTGCTGTGCCAGAGGAGGAAGAGGAGGACAGCATTTGCTGCAGCTTGTTTTTCCAGAAGGTCTGCATGCCTGTTTACAACCTCCAGAAGCAGTCTCCACATTTCCCACTCCTATGGGTCATGGGCAAGGCTTTTCTCAATGTTTACAAGACCCTGTCAAGCGAGTTCCCAGTTCATGGTCAGTCACAGTTGTGTCAGTTCCCTGTGCTTCTTTTTATCCTTAAGAAATCTTCTATCCATCCTTAAGCCCTCTACCCATAACCTTTTTTAATAGTGCCAAGGGTTCTCCAAACACCTCCTCTTGTGCTCCTCTCTTCACCACTCAGACTTGCCAGCAGCAAGGCAGTTGCTAAGGATGCTATCCTTGAGGGCTACACTGTTGGCTTTTTGTTGAGGCAAGAAAAGTAACAAACTACTGGTTTTCTTTGTTTGGTTTCCATGGCATCAAACATAATCTTTGCTTCTCAGCTCTGAAATGCCAGGCCTTCGTCTCTAGGGAAATTTGTTCTTCGAAGAGGCAAGGGCCTGGCATTTTGGGCCACAGACAAATAGCTCGCTTCCTTCTGCCCCAGGTCCCCAGAGAAAAGCCACCATGCTTTACCATCATGTGGTGTTCAGATGGCAAATGGGTGGCTTGGGCTGTGTTTAGCAGGCATAGTCTTTTGAGACTGCTGCACATGGTTCAGTACATGGCTGGCAGCCCAAGCTTTTGGCAGATAAGAGAGGCTGAGGGGTGCAGGACAGTAACTGAACCTGCACTTCTGAGCTTACTTCTTCACTTGCTGGACATTTCTGTGGCCTGGTGGATGAGAAAGAAATAAAATGTCATGTCTAAGAAGGCCTTGATGCTTATCACTGTGGTTGTTCCTTGTAAGGGAAGAATAGTAAACACAAAGCTATCTACACCAGGCAAGGGTGACAAAGCAATTCTGCCTTGTAACATCAGGTCACGAACAAGAACACTTTGCCTTAAATGCCAGTGCTTGCTTACTAGTCAGACCTCTTCCTCCAAAGCATGAACAGTCTCAGCACCCTCACGGCCCATGAAGTTCCCTGCACTGAACCATGCTTCCCATACCCAAACTGCACTCTGCCCACTGTAACATAGGCACAGGTACTACTAGGGCACAGTATTTGTCCATCGTTTTCTTGCAAACCAATTTCAATTAAAGGATTTAAACTGTGCTTGGCTGACAGGCGTAACAGCACTTGGCCATACTTCTAGGAAAAGCTTAAGTGTACTAACACAGTGGCTCTTCTCAAAGACTTCAGTGTCCCTCCAGCACAGAAGTAGTGATGAGAGACCTCTTTACAGATTCACGTGAGCAAAGCAGGCATTGTGGAGTGTTAAGTGAACATTCATATTTATATCCTGTCCAAGCACCAACATTTGAACAAGGGATGGTGTCAGTCAGCATGACCTACAGCAGTAGGAGGTGCTAGTGGTAACAGACCAGCCTTGCCCCATATGTAAATATATGTCAATAGCAGTTAGAGAAACATCAGAAGCTGGTCTTAAGTGATGGTGCAAGGAGGCATAGACACTAACCTTGTACACTATAGACTTGATTTATTTAGGAGAAGTTTCCACTAGTATCTCCCAAGAATCACACTGTATATAGATGCAGGTCATTTCAGTGCACTTATCACTGTCTGCGTGGGGTGGAGTAATTCATGCAAGCTCCAATATAAACTATCTTGGGCAGTAAAAAGGATAAGCAGTAACTAAGGTGCAAGAAGAATTCAGGCCTGCTCAGCAACCAACATACAGGAAGAGTCACATTCCTCACTTTCCTTAAGACACAAAGCCAAAGCACGGAGCATGCCAATTCTTAGTGGTTCCTACCAATACCCTTACAATAATTTTGGGACATAACGCCTTCTCCCAATTAACTTTCAGCTATCGACCTGGAGACAAGCTGTTCCTCATCACAATCATCACGACCCATCAGTGACATCTGCCCTTGATGCCAGCAAATTCCAAAGCTCTAAGATAAATGCATTATGAAGAGCAGCAAATAAAAGATATTAAAATACACGCACAAGCTTAGGTAAAACAAAGCCAAATCATGGAAACATGGCTTCTTTAGTAAAGAAGAGAATAAGCCAGGTGCAACATTTTGATTGTGCAAAGTCAGATGTGCCCTAACTTGTCAATTTTCAGTTTCAGTACAGAAGGAGAATTGTATTCTATTCTCACCACTGTTTTTTTCTTGTCTTATCCCAATTAATCCCGCTTTTCTTTGGATCTGCAAAGAAGGCATGTGCCTTATTCAGTACAGCATAAAAGAGGAAATACTTTACCTCTCAAGTTCACATACAAAAATGCAACCTGTTTCTCCCTCCTTCCCAACCGCAATTACTTTTTAAACTTATAAAAAGGCAAAAAATAGGTTGTTAATGTTTTTTTCTTGTTCTGCGGTTTCCAAACACACGGAGGTTTTCATTCAACATAGATTCTTCCCCATTTTCAGGGGTGTTTGACCCAAAGAAAGACTACCTAGTAGGAGTTCATATCAGTCCAAAATACTAAATTGTTCAAAGTACAATTCATAGCAGCAGCAAGACTCCAAATCTCACAAAATATATCCCATTTGGAACATCCTCAAAATTGTACTTGTGGGCTCTCAACATAAAAAAAGCTAACCTTCAAAATCAGTGGTTTTGCTTTTTTAATTTACTTATTAGGCAGTTGGATTTTATAAGGCTTCCTATTTTTGCAGCCATGGTCTCCTTAAAGCATTTTTAGATCTGTGCAAAATAAGCAGCAATAATCTTCTGCCCCTTTTGTCCTCACTTGATAGAAATGTAGAGAGGTAGGAAGTTGGCAACTTTTATACTTACTACAATAGGGCAGTCATTGACAATCACACACAGTTTAGCATGACTGCAGTAAAAGTCTAAAGTAAGAACACATTAATTCCCAAATGAATTGGTTGGGGAAGGGCAAAGTAGAAATTTATTGAGGGTGCCTTGGAATAAGCTTTGTTTGTCTTTTGTACAAGTACAGATAAGCATGTTTCTGCTTAAGAAGGTGGGAATTGCTACAGAAACTCCTCAAAAATCAATAGGCAGCTGATCACTCAAGCACATCCAAGAGAGACATCTGAAGGGATCAGGAAGAACCCTTGTTCAATTAACTATGTACTTCTTGGGAAATTCACCTCTCATTCCTCCACCATGTGCTTGACTCACTCCTGATACACCATTATGTGCTAGGCTAAAGAAACCAACAGCCCTTCTGTTCCCTACAGGACCAAGCCATGTTCTCATGGGAAAGCCAAAATAAATGTTAAGTTCTGGTGGGTTTTTTTGCTTTACCTTGACATTCTTTAGCACGATTAAAAATGTTTACATCATTAACTGCAGAGTAGAAGGAAAGCATGAGAACAAACAGGCCTGAATTAAATTGAGCACTCCTTATAATGCTATGAAATGCAACCAACAAGAATCAGAAACCAACAGCAACTTAACAGAAATGTAACATCAAAATACTCCTCAGGCCTCCTGAAAGAGAAAAAATCTAGACAGTTTTTGAACCTCAAGCTCAAATATGCTTTGCTAAAAGACAGGACAATTTAATTATACCAAATTCTAGTTCAGAAAAAAAGAAATTAAAGCTTACCATAGAAACAGATGCATCTTCAGAGGATTTATGATAGAGACTGGAAATTTTTTCTGCACGCATAAGGTATTCTGCAGTCTTCCTTTTCACTGCTTCTCGACGAGTTGGACTTGATTCACCTCAACAGACAAAAAGAAAGTTGTTTTTTCTATACAGAGAGAGTTACTAAGTAATCAAAGCACATGACTGCTTTGATTCTGCCTTTTTGATTTCCTTTGGGTTGTTCATAATCAAACCTACAGATATGCATCTTATAAAAAGCAAGCAGTATGATCTCAGAGTTCTACAAAAATAACAATTTAAGCCTTGGTATAGACCAAGGTAAATAAAAAGTCTTACCTCATTTTTCTGTGATCAAGTGTATGTTCCTATGGTAATGTAAGTAAGAATTGAAACAAACCACTGATCCGAATGTTGTACCCCCCAAAAAACCTCAATTAAGTAAGACACAATAAGAAATTTCCAACAAACAATAACAAAACTTCCTCCCCCCGCCCCCCGTGTTTATAATATGGGCTTTCCAAAGGATAAAAGAAGGTCAGAAATGCTATCAATAGCCAGAAGGCAACATGAGAGACACTGAGACCTCTTGTTCACAGCTTTCCAGTGCTACCTGCTCCTTGCTTGTTAGCTTTGGGTAGCACAGGAAGAAATGAAGAAGCGCTTGCACCAACTACTCCACTTCCCAGATGGCTGAACAACCTTTGTGTTATATCTAATCTATGCAAACTCTTGCAAGAGGTGAGAATACTGTGATACCATACAAATTCTGTATTCACCCTAAAACTTGCAGTTTATGTTCAGGCATTCACATCCTACATGGTATATTGTTATAATAGACCCAATTTGTGATGACAGCACAAATGACAAGTCACAGGCAACTGTCCCAGAAGAAGTCAGAGCAATAGCAGAGACTTCATGTGGCCCTGACAGTCACTTCCAGCCGTAAATGAGGCCATCCAAGACTTGCAGAAACACAGCCTTGGCTGTGATGGGCTTCTGCACTGACAGGTGCAAGCCAACACCTCCTGCAAGCCAATGCTCAGACAGGGCAAGGAATTGCAAGGGTATCAGCTACTCAACATGAAAGACAAGGCAAGGAACAGGAGAGGTAATAAATTAAACATGCAAATACACAAACCCCAACAAACAGCAGATAACAGAGACAACAACAAAGAGAACTCATAAGACGCTGATCAATGGGCCATTAACGGAACCTCTGAGTGTAACCTTGAAGAAGTTCAACCAGAAACTTGGTAACTGATAAGAAAAGAAAAAAAAAAAAAGATAGGGGATTATTGTGGGTTATCAAGAATGAGTCTCATAAAAAAGAAACTATTACGGGATGTCTGAAGGAGAACTTACTCTGTAAACGCACGCAAAACTCGCTGTGGGAGGTTTTCAGGGGGGATTACGGCAATGTGTAAGATGTTACAAGTGAGATATTTAGGGGCAGGATTAAAGGTGAGGAAAGGGAGGGGTCAAGATGGTGGGGGGCACAAGCATAAGAAAACAGAGGCAGGAATTACATGGGCCAGTTGTTGCGCAAGCAGGCTGCTGGCCAATATGCTTGTCTGACTGACCCCTGCACGTGACTGCCACTGTCTGTCTTACCTTCTTATTAAACTCTATACCTCACTATTTTCTGCACGAACATGCTCATTATTCTGTGTCCATAAGATACACCAACAAACTTCAAGCCAGATAAGCAGGCAAGTCAGACAAAATGTCTGAAAGCTGGATCAGGGAGCTGGAAGGCACCTACCAGAGAGACCGGAACACCAGGTCTTTCTCTGACCAGCAACAGTTCAAAAGAGGTTTGTCTGTTCATGCTGTCTGTGGATATGTAGGTATCTCTAAAGGCAATATCCTTCTGCCTGTGTCAATCTGTTTGTGGTCACCCATGCCCATACACAGTATGTATGCACACATGCAAGCCCCTCTCAGAAATTTGCACTCAGCTTCGCTATTGGTAGGACCCAATGAAGGGGTAAGCTGCAGCCACATCACTCCAGCAGCTCAGAGCAGGAGGAATCACTCTGATCCTTCAGTCAGCCAGATCTGGCTAGCTTTAACACCAACTCCTTAATAAAGGAGGAGGAGCAGGTTGTCTAGTTTTCCCAAAACACTTTCAAGATGGTAGGTAATAATGAAAACTTAAGTATGAGGTCTCTTCAGAAAGTTCACGGAGGGTTCCTCTGCTGTAGGCTCTCAGAGCTGCTGTTTTTCCCCCACTCCGTGCAAGAGGGAATGAATCACTGCTCTTGCTTTTAACAATCCTTCGACTCAGGGAGTGAAGAAGGCAAAGGCTCTTTTCCACTTCATGTTGCCATGGTCTACTGCTAGTCATTTTGACCCTGTTAAAATAAAGACTCCTCCTCCCTTTCATATCCTGACTACAAACTACCTAAACACACAGAACCATGACACAGACTCCACCAAGAGTAAGTAGAAGAGACTTCCATACTACTCCAAGCTCTGCTGTTAAGTGATCCACTGTAAATCTTATTATCCACCTCACAGCAGGAGGGAAAAGTGATTATCACCTCCTTGGACAGAGACACACAGCCCTGCTCTGCAAACTCCTTGTACTACACTTGGTTTGGGAAGAAGCTGGACAGTCAGAAATACAGCGTGCTTTCAGCATACAACGTTATGGACATGAAACAATTTCTCAGTAATTTCTCCATTCTAAAGACAGAGGGGACTTTGTACCAGGTCCAGCACCTCTAATATCAGCCTCCACTTGGTAGAACTCATCTGGGGAAATGCCCCTAGATGAGACTGCCGGTCTTATTCCCACCTGGGATTTAAAAAAAAAAAAAAAAAAAAAAAAAAGTAACACTCAACTGTTTGAACTTGGATTTGGCTTTATCAGCCAAGAACAGATACACAGTATTTTATAAATGTGTGTTGCAATTTCTTAAAACATGACTAACGCTCTTGCTTTCATCTCTACATTTAATCTTATGGCACCATAAAACTTTCTTGCGCCAATCCACTGGTGATCACCCACATTCTCATAGACACAACAAGGGGTAGTTGCTCAGGGAAAACAAGTCCTCTGCACAGCAACAATAAACTCTTCAGCCAGCATTTTCTTGAAGCAGACTGCTAGAAAACTGCTACGTTAGTGTCTAAGGCTATCATAAAAGTCAAGCTTACTGCTTAATTGTTAGTTATGTGTATTTAGTTGGGATGTTTATTGCTTTTTTTCAATGCTTCAGTAATTTTACAGTAATTAACGCAAACAATCTAGGATGTCCCCTTAGAGCTGTCTTTGTTCTCCCTACTTTCACAAGACATTAATTTCAGTTTTCCTTCTACTTCTCCTTCCTGAGTAATTTATTAAATAACATTTGCAAACTGTTCACTCATTAAAATCTTCAGCCATAAAAGAGGGCGTGGATTCACAAAACATTTACTCAACAAGTTCTTGCATCTTATTTGTGAATAAGATCATTAACAGTTCAGTGTCTGAGTACCATAACAGGTGAATGTTTGAGAATTGGATTTATGGAAGCAGGACTTTGGCTTTTTATTCTTTACAGTTTAACCAAGAAAATGTAAAAATCTACATTCCAATACAAATTCCCATTTAAACAGCCAATAGCTCGCAAAAAAATCTGTAAAGCACAGGATATGAATTCTAAAAAAAAAAAAAAAAAAAAACCACCCACACACAAAACAAATATTACTTAAAAAGCCTTAAACACAGGGTGATGAGTAATAATAAAGGCCCTGTTAAACTAAAAATAATCTTCAGCATTTATGCCAAATTTCAGGTCATAGAACTCTTCACTTAAAACCTAATAAATCACTAAAATGCAGTACTAGAACAAATCCTTACATCTGACAGATGTTAAAGCCGTGATACAGACTTTATGCATTTTTTTTTCAAAGGCAATATTGCATTTTGTTATGGGATAGTATTTTTAGTTACACAAACTGTGCACTCTTAAAAGAATCTACTAATTTATTCCTAGTTAAGACCTTTTGATTTAAACACTGTGTGAACATACTGAGCTCCTATTTCCATTCTGTGGTTAGCCCACAATAATCTAAAGAGGTATCTCTCTTTAATTACAATTTATAACTTGAAAGGCATTTTTCTTTAAATGGCAGCAAACAGGAAATGTTTAAACTGTGTCAAAGCCTTTGATGAATCTTTACAACTGCTCATAAAAGATCATCCTACTTAAAATAATATTGATTTTTCATTTATTTTCCTAGATACTAGAAGATTTACGTTTCATCTGATCAGGATCAAAGCTTCTTCCCCCTCCTGATCACTGGGATTAAATCAGCAATGTCGTTTTACATGTTTAAAAACTACACTGCTAAAGCAAGATATAAAAGTGTAGCAAGGCTGATCATAGAGACCTTAGAATAAAAACCCCTCAAGATTCCCCGTCTCTCTCCCTCTGCATTTGCTACTGAGCAGCTGTGCCTCACACAGATTCACATGAATGAAAATATTAAGGCGAGAAACCACCCACTTAGTTTATTTTCCATATTACTTTCCTGTAATTATTTTGTAAACTGTTCACACAACAATATATAAAAACATCTGCAAAAACAGGTAATTAATGTGTCAAGCCAAACTAATGCATTTTTTATGGTGTCCATGCTTCGTCAACTGTAATTACAACTCTTTTTAAGCAAATGATGATGTGTTTGTTGCAATGTGCAAGTGGTTATTTTAGATGCTCTGTTTACTATTACTGCAAACAGAATATAAAAACTCTACAGCTACTTTGTTGCACATATAAGCCTTCATCTACACAAGCACAAGCAGACTGCTCCCTCATTTTCCAAAGGCTTTGCTTATATCAAAGAAATAAAAATATCTTAAAATGAAAATTGGCTTTGGAAAGGCTGACCAGGCCACCCGCTGACCAAAGTAACAGTAGCCAGGACATTAGGCCAGCAGCCAATGATTTAAAATTTGTTCTTTAATTTTTATTTCTAAGGATGGCTCAGCTACAATTTATTTACAAAAACAGACGTTCCTAACAACATTCAAATGATCTTGAGGGTTTGACAGAGGAAAACCACAAATATCAGAATAATTGTGCCATTGAGTTCATCTGTGACTTGCCTGCTTGTTTTCCCATAG